TGCACATAATAGAAATCGTAGTATTTTTGAAACAATGCTTCCAAGAGAATCAAGTTCAAAGGTAAAATCTTGCTTAAGAAGAACTTTTTTATAAAATATACTTATCAATATTAAATTTATAAGAGTATTACTCATGTATAGAGTGTAGATGCAGCTTTATTGCCAACAATATCTTTTCCTGCATTTGCTACTCATGAAGAGGTATTGTATAATGAGACAAAAACAAACATAGTTGGAAGATTGAAAGGAAATTATGGTTTCAAGAGATTTGGAAGGGATGGATATAAAACAATTTTAGAAAGCAAAGATCGTCGTTACTACAAATCTGGTGAAATCAAGGTCTCTGATATATTTAATTGTTAGTACGTTGTTTTTGGAAATTGATTTTTAGCAAATTTGTTATATTTGTAATTTTTGTCCTACATAATTATACTATTTGCTTGTAAAACCAATAATTAAATAAGAAACATTCTTCTTTTTTTGTTAATAGGAATTCGATAATATCGAATGTGAGTGGCCCCTATTTTACATTTTCATGATAATAGATGGAGTTTTTAAAACTCTTCCAGAACAAGTTGAAGAATACCAGAATTTACTAAAAGAACGAATACATAAAGATATTAATGGAGGTAGACTATCATATTAAATTTAAATATATATAGTAGCATAAGAGTATTATTATATTTTTTTTAAACAATTAGATCCTGTAATACCTATGTATTACTACGTATCTGAAGAAAATTTGGAAACAGAAAGAAACGATCCTGGTAGTACTTACCGAATAGCAAGTATTGAAGGAAAAGGACGGAAAAGTTCTACAGATTCTGAACCTGCACCTATTTATTTATGGAATCAAGCTATGTTTGTAATTGCTCAGTTACTTACTGCTGGTCTGTTGCATATCAATGAATTAGATCCAATCAGACGTTATCTTCCTTCGTATAATAGACCACGTAAAGCTGGAAGATATTCAGCTTTTCAAGTAAGTATGAATATATATTTTTTTATTTCGACTAAATTATCATTTGTATAAATTATTTTGCTTATGTTTATCCCATACAGGCTAAACCCAGTATTGTAAGTAAATGATAATATTTGTATGCATAGCTTAGTCTTTCGCATCAATTTTCTTTTAATATTTGAGAGTTAGATTGATAGATTTGTATTTTTCATATAGTGCATACATATTTGAAGTTTTTAACATAATTAAATGATGTCTAGTAAAATAAACATGCCTAGTAAAATATTTTCTTATGATTTTATTTTAGTTTTTAGTTTTGTTTGAGTCACTATTACTTTCTCACTATTAGATTAGTAATTTTTACATTGCAGTATACGTGTTTTTAAAGCTTTATAGTAATGTAATAGTGCATGAAGCTGGAGTGAAGGCATGATTTAAGTTGCTCTTTTTTATGATGCTTGTTGCAACTATCTCATTTTTCTTTTTCAGTGATTTTTTCTCTATGTACCTATAGTACATGATTTCTACTTCTTTCATTCTTCTTAACATTCTTGTTTTTACCATTTTTACTGCATTAATTATACATTATTCATTTATTATTTTATCAATTATTTACTACATTATAATAATGCATGATTTATCTGTTACAACATTTTTGTACGTCAGGGTACTCATACTGATCTTGTAGTACAAATTGTTCTTATCGCTGAGTCAATGCGACTACAAGCTATGATGGCCACATATGGTATACAAACACAAACTCCACACGAAGTAGAACCTGTTCAGATATTATCATCTATGCAATTAGTAAAAGTTTATGAGAAATTAGGTGTAAATAGTAAACTAAATTTACAAGGTCGACCAGGTAGACCTATTGGATCTTTGGGTACTAGTAAGGTATGTTTCGTGTATTGAATAATTTTA